TTGCTGTTGTTGTTCCATTCAGTCTAATACAAACCAAACTTGAATACTCCGAATGGAGCATAATCAGGATGTTTGTATCATATGCCTAGGTAAAGGTAGAAACTTGATAAAAACTCCTACTAAGGAAATCTTAGAAAAGCTTGAGGGCTATAATAAATAATGCACTTTGATGGTGAAGTGAAAGTTGGCACACTATGTGATAGAACATAGTTTCTGTCAGTGCTGTATTGTAAATCTGTATTTCATTGGAAGTGTTATAGGGATACAGTACATAGTGAAAAGCTGAAGAGAGACGGTGATTTAATGAAGCTTTTATTTACAAATAATGTTATTGTGCCAAAGAAAGGACTCAGTCCATCAGACCCAAAATCTAAGCTTGATTCATATAAGTCCCCAAGAAATGGTGGAAAGGGAAGTATCAAGCAGCCTGAAAGTGGTGAGATCCACCATGCAATGAGCAAGAAGAGATTTATGTACATCGAAGAAAATACTCCAGTATCAAAACTGAAGGTATAGTTAGTTTATATAAATAACCCACTTGGTTTTATAATATCATGGAAACTGTCTTTATGATAAAGAAAGGAGCTGCAACCAAACTGTCTCCAGTACAGAATTACCAGCAATATGTATGTGACACTGATGTCATTAATACTCTTTGACTTTTGGCAAAGTTGTAATGTTGGATGATGTTGATGAAGTTTACACTTTTGGGAGGAAACTGCTACGGAGAGGAAATTCTAGAGAAGTTTGTTTGGTGTATGCAAAGAAAACAGGCGTCATTAAAGTAAATGAATTGGATGGGAACTATTCAGAATGGATAACACTGAAGCTGAGAAACTACTGCCAGCAATAGGTGCTCTTGTTACACACACAAACTGAGCTGATCTCCTTCAAAGGATACAATCAGTCTACATCTAATATTCTGCTAATCTCTGAAAATGGCTGGGAGAAAAACAATAACATTATCCTGTCAGTTAAATACTTGCAGCCACCAGCTCCCAAGGTTTTAATATAACTTGTGAAATATGCATGCAAGGAACACTGATGCTAACTGAAAATGCTTGTGTAAAAAAAAAATTATATATATTTATATACCCCGATATTCATCAATATGCAAATACAATGAACTGTGACAACACAACTGATTACCATTTAGATGAAGATGATGATGGTTAGAGAATGAAATGATTTGACCAGTAAGCTTTCCAGAGTTTAGCTTTTGATGATGAAGAGTTCAGTGAGTTTGTATAATATAGTAATATTATGTTTGAGAAGACCATCCAGCTGTATTTCCAAGTGAGATGAAGACAGATGTAAAATGCTGACATCAACAATAACTTACTCTATGGACATGTTAAAAATAGCAGGCATATTGTGACATTCATTAAATGCATCTTATTTGTTGATGAAATGCATTATTTTACTTACAAAATTTCCATAATTTTTCCACTATTTTGAACATTTTTTAGCATAGTTTGTATCCTAAAATAGAACCCCCAAAATTATACTAAAAGCCAAAATAAAAAATGGCACCAAACATTTCTCAACTCAATAGATCCTAGTAAGTATGACGAACAGATAAAATATATTTGAGGAAATCTAGCTGAAATGAAATTTTAGGACATTTTGTTCCATACTGATTAATTGGTTGGTTTATGATACACTAGTCAATATAATTTCTGCTCATAGGTAATTGATTATATCGATAAAATTGCTCAGCTCTACATGTATGTAGTCAAGCTACATTATCAGTTCCACATTTTTATTGAAACTACAAAAATCTTCGAACAGTCACATTATGAGAACTAACCTACAATACAATGGAGAATAACAAATAGCCCTTTGGGAATATTTCAATATCTATAAATATTCTACAGATGTTAACATTAAATCTTCCCATTGCCCATTCTTTCATATAGTTCAGAAACAAGGTTTAAATCTCTAATGGATTGAGATATGATGAGAACTCTAGGTATACACAAAGTATACTTCAGTCTCCGAATCTTAATTCTCAGTAATACTCTGGTTTGTGCTTTTCCATTTTTTTCATAAATAACTATTGTATCAATTATTTCTAAATAATTTTTTTACTGTTGTGCTGTACATTTTAGGTATAACTTAAGTTTCTTTCATTTACACATCTATCATTAATCATGCATATGTTTATGAACTCTGTTATATACGTCATTTTATTATTTTACTTACATACTGTGTAGTTTCAGGGCTTCTGCAGTTTGTTTTTTTGAAACCACTTAATCTCTTTCTTTCATCAAATGTTTTTATATTTTCCTGTTTCAGTTCAGCTTCTCTGTCCTTCTTTCACATGAAATCACAATATAACATCACCTATCACTGACACTGTAGCCTGGTTTTTCTTCTTTATTAACATGAAATCACAATACAACATGTACACTACTTTCTGCTGTTAACACCACCTGTCACTGAAACTGCAGCCTGATCTTTTTCTTTATTAACATGAAATCATAATATATCGTGTACACTACTTTTTCCTGTTAACACCACCTGTCACTGAGACTGCAGCCTGACCTTTTTCTTTTTTATTAACATGAAATCACAATATAACATATACACTACTTTCTACTGTTAACACCACCTGGCACTGACACTGCAACCTGATCTTTTTCTTCATTATTAACATGAAATCACAATATAACATGTACACTACTTTCTACTGTTAACACCACCTGGCACTGACACTGCAGCCAGATCTTTTTCTTCTTTATTAACATGAAATCACAATATAACATGTACACTACTTTCTGCTGTTAACACCACCCGTCACTGACACTGCAGCCTGGTTTTTCTTCTTTATTAACACAAAATCACAATATAACATGTATTGAAAGGTGTTGTGCACATTCTATGGCAGTGGTTCCCAACCCGTTAGGGGAAGGGGTGTGAAACGTTACTGGGATGAATGGAAATGAAGGCTTAGCTTCTGTTGAATACTATTTCAGTCGATTTACCTTTCTGGCTCAAATCTGTGCCTGGAATGCAGTCTCTTATCAATAGTTCATGAGTGGGGAGTGGTTCAGTGAAGTTTTCCTCTTAAACTCTCTCTGATCCACCCTTTTACAACTGACACTATGATTTACTGTATCTATATAAATATGTGTGTGTTTTTTATGAGGAGGACTTTAGGCTTAAATAATGGTTAGCATTTTCTTCTGTGGCATAGTACAGCAAGATACTGTCCTTTTATGGACCAGAGTATGGTTATAGAATAGTATGGTTGGCTATTAAATGTCTTGAAATTGGTATAACTCAGACTCCAGTAACAGTATTTTCCTTGTAATTTTCATTAATAAGAAATTACTTTAAAAACTAACGAATGCAGAGGAGAATTCTATGAACATGTTTGGAAACATTTATAAGCAGAGATATACAGGAAAATATAGAACTACAAGGATGGCGCATTTCCAGATGTTGCTGAAATAACATGGACACCTATAATTATATCATAACTGATGAAAAATGTTCCATATTAATAATCCACCATGATACAAAAACGTGAAATAGATTTTCATTTGAACAGATATGGTATAAGTTCACAATACTTGGAGTACAAGTTAACAATATGTACGTGCAGACTTGAAACAAGATGTGATGTCAGTGTCTTTATAAAAGTTCAATTTGTATGAACATTTTTGAAACTTTGACTGTTCAACTTGATCATGATATACAATAATTTCAATGCATTATGTTGAATGCCTTCACTGCGATAATGTGAGATTATGCTTGAGGGGTTGAGATTTTCTGTGCTTCCCTCATGCAGAGACATGGACAAAATTAGTTTAGAATAAAAAATAGACCACTAAAATAATATTTTTAATGAATATTATATTTCTAGGAAAATTAAATTGCAAATTACAAAACAATGGTAAGCCCAACAATACTATCCTTAATTCGTGAATATTAGACGATTTCTAGAGAAACTAAATTACAAGTTACAAAAATATTAGGCTTAGTAATTCTCTTCTCAATTTACATGCATTTGATTTTTTGTTCGACAAATATATGGTTTCACATAAAGTTAATTTCTTTGTAGATAGAGGAAAATTAAAAAAACGTCCCACCTAAATTTGGTTGAGTGTGACCCAGTAGTTAGTTTTCCTGACTGGGGATCCAAGTGTCCATAGTTTGCTTTCCATTGCTGCAAGATGATACTCTATATTTTGGGGTACATTATAAGTGATGGAACAAATCTAATTTTTTTATTAGAGTAGACAAAGGATTGATGTTGGTTGCTGTTGTAGTTATAGGGCAGATAATTCTTGTGTAGCTTTGTGCTAATATAGGTGCCTAAAAACCAAACTAAACAAGCACAAATTTATGATGGCATGTCTAAGTTATTAGTATGTCCTTCTTAAAGATATGAAAGTTCTCATGAAGTGTCACTCAAGATCCAATAAACAAGCACACAAGTTTATATAATAGCATGTCTAAATTATTAGTATGTCCTTCTTAAAGATATGAAAGTTCTCATGAAGTGTCACTTGAGATCCAGTAAACAAGGGCATAAGTTTATATGAAAGCATGTCTAAATTATTAGTATGTTAATCTTAAAGATATAAAAGTTCTCATGAAGTGTCACTCAAGATCCACTTTCATTCAGTAGAAATTTTGTATATTTAAGAAGGACATATTAATTATTTTATACTGATTTGTAGAAGTGCTATGAATGTGATTTTTAATATGTTAACCAACTTTTTTTATTCTGTAAATACATGTGTTATAGCAGAAATTACTGGGTAAATTATTAAGTTTGGAATGTTCCATATTCTAAGTATTAATGTAAAGTTGTGAAATGAAATATTAAGTGGTCTGATTTTAGACTTAAATATTATAAGAAATGTTACCTGTTCATAATATATGTATTTATCTTTTGTACCAAAACACACTTGTATGTATGTATATATATATTTTTCTGGCAAATACAGACATTGTTATTTAGTACTTTTTTTTATTTATCAAAACAGAGAACTAAATTACAGTGTTGAAAAACATCATCAAAGTGTTCTGGCCCCATTTGTAGAGCAGAATAACTTCAGCTATGATGATCTTTCCAAACATTTTGATGCCAGTTTGGCAGAACTTGATATGGAGACCTTCCGAACAGAAGACATTCCATCCATGTTGGCCTTTCCAACTATATTCTCTGGAAACATCTCCAGGGAGAACTGTGCATCAGTGTCAGGGTCAGTTCTTGGGACTCTGGAGCTGGACTCCTCTGTTAGGTATGTAACATTGTAGTAATTTCCCTTTTTACATCTCCTAAGTGCAGGATATGAACTACAAGTGAATGTTCTACCAACTTTAGTTACCCCACAAGCAGCTGCTGTTAACACACGTTTGAACAACTCAGACTATCACAACATGAAATAGAAATTGACATGTTTCTATAAGTAGAAATAGGTGATACATATATTTAGAAATCAAACTGTCAATTAATATTGGGAGGTTTCTGTGAGTGTAACATATACAAGAAATTTTCCTGAATCAGTAGTGCTGTCACATTATTACTGCTGTGACCCTTAAAACCTCAGTTGCTTAGTTATTTTAAAGTGATTTTTTTATTATTATTGTAGATCTTTAAAAGTTACTTTAAAACAAACTGATTAAAGTGCATGGAGTTTAAGTTTAAACTTGATTAAACTATTTTAAAATATTGGGTTGGTTGAAAGGACTGACTCTGTGCACCCTTGGTTAAGCTATTTTAAAATATTGGGTTGTTGAAAGGACTAACCCTGTGAACCCTTGGTTAAGCTGTTTTAAAATACTGGTTGGTCGAAAGGACTGACCCTGTGCACGCTTGGTTAAGTTATTTTAAAAGCTGAAACTTAAAATGATTCATAACTTGAGTGTTTTTTAAAACATAACTCAATCAAACAACTTCTTTTTGAAATTTTCAAAAACTGAAGATTATTATTGGACATAAACATTATGGTTGCTTATTTTAAAGTGACACTTCAGTATATGGCAGTAAAGATTTTATTCAATTTTTTTGGAAAGATCTGTTTTAGGTATTACTAGTTTTGTTAATGCCTTTACATTCTTGTGTCATTGAATGTAACCGTTATTGTTCTACGTGTATTTGTTTTGAAGTAGAATCATTTCTGTCTTTTCTGTTGAGTTGCAGTATTTCAGAATAATTAACTTTAGGCATTATATGTTGTGAATGGTATTGTTGATGTCAGCCTTTGTAACTAACATAAGTGTTATAACAGCAGGAAATAGATTGCATGCTGTAGAGTAGGATAAATGTGTTTATTGCTTTGTAAAGAAACATTCTTCTTCTTCTGCAGTATTTTTTGTAAATTTAAATACTGTACGTTTTTTTTATAACATAGGATTTAGTTTTCTGTAATTGTAATATTAACAAAAGAATACTTATTTTCTTCAGTCCCCGCAGCACATCAGAAGAATCAGCAGAGATGTCCATTTGTAAAGATGAGCCACTCTTCTCTCCAGTGAAAGAACAACCATTGACAGGTGGAAACATATCTGTGGATAGTTTAGACTGTAGCTCACTGGAGGAGCATGATATAGTGTTAACATGTCAAGCTAATAAGAACAATTACACAATTGTGTTTGAAAGCAGTGGAACTCAGTATACTGATGACTCTGATTTTTTGGAAACTGCAGATAGCAGTGAAGGAGAAGGAAATCAGTGGTTCCAACATAACCATGGTCAAAGAAGAAGCCAGGGGTGTATGATACAGTCAGATTTAGCTTTTACCACATGGGGAAAATTGAGGAGAATGAAAGAAGCAACATCTTATAAATGTGCTAATAAACCCACAACAAGCAAAAGCCAAAGCCTTCCAAACCTTCTTCGACAGTCTTTGGTATTGAAAACAAAATACTTGCCAGTGAATCCACTGAACTGTGTTCCTCTGTATGATTTACAGACCAGTCAGCCATCACATTCAAAGGATTCTGAAACAAGTGGTAGTCAACATTCAGTGCCTTTGTTGCAACTGTATATAAGGAACAGGAGTTCCTTGGGATCAGAAGGTTGCTCCATTTCAATATCAAGTAGCCAGTCAGAGTCTTCAGGGTATATGATGACACCTCCACTATATGGCTCTAATTCTAATATGCAAGGAGATACAGAAAAAGTCAGTCAATCCAAAGGATACATAAGGAGAAATTCTGTGAAGCAGTGTGAGTGTAAAGTTCGAAAAGAAAGAAGTGGAGAAATTTATAGAGAACTAGAAAAATCTGAGGAGAGAAGAATGACCATGGTTCATAGCCTGGGCTCAAACTTCACAACATTACCAGTGGATGATGTGACAGAAGCCAATAATAATTTGTTACAAATGTCCACTAACAACAACACATACCAAACAAATATATGTGAACAAGAATCTGATGAAGAAGAAGAAAGCTCACAATATTTTGAAGACTCTTTAGTAGAAGCTCCACCACCTCGTCCAGTTGTTGCCCACTCAAGTATTATTCATGAAGAAGAAGAACCATTAGATACAGATTCAGGAAGTGGAGATGAAACAATGAAAGATAGTAAAGAACCTATTGGAAGTGATAGTGCTACTTCTGAAGAAATTACCCTTACAAAGAACAATACCATAAAGATAAAACCAAAGGTTTCCAAACAAGACCGTGGAGCTGGTACTGTTCAAAGAATTAATAATTTTTTCACTACTAGTAAAGTTGACAACTTTATGGCTAATAATAGCTGTGAGAGCACTCCTGAAAGGTTTTCTGTTAACTGGGTAGACCTCACTCCAGAAATTAATTCTCAAGGCACACAGACTAAACAGTTAAATAGCAAGAGAAGTGGATCTATGCAAGAATTTTTTACTGAGAGTGATAAACATCTAAATAATGCTCGACCTCATTCACCAAGGGAGTCCAGTCCAGCCTCGAGTGGCTATGGGAGTAGTCGACAGAACTCAGTGGAACGGCTGCGTCAGAATTCTCAGTTGTTCATAAACAATACTAATACTATAACCTTAAATCAAAGTCAAAGGAATAAGACAGTAGTGACAGTTCCCACATTGCACGACCGTGTTACTCAAATACCGGTTCACATTAAGAATCGGTCTGTCCAGACTTCCTTTACAAATGTCAGTGATGGGTTTATGATTGAGGAAGCTACTATGATGGATAAATCTACTTCTAGTTCATTCACAGGTGATAATTCCACTTCTCCAAACATATCAGAGGATACTGAACCTGAGAAAAAGCCAGTGTATGTTTGTTTTCCAAATTATTCTCTCCCTGATCTAAGTTTTCTTAAAGAGCTAACAGGTAATCTAGATGGACCAAATTTATTGTATCTTAAGCCATCAAGTCCCATTGTGCCTCCATATATGAGAGATTTTGGGATATCTCAAAGTGAAAAAAATAAAGTGAGGTCATTATCTTTTCCAGAATTTGAATCTATTTCTCAGGATACTTTTAACCATATTCAAGACTGGGATTCTTTGAGTGTGTTATTGCCAAATGATTTAAAACCCCTTATTCCAAAGCTGAGCCAAAGCAAAATTGAAGAGAAGAAACATGAAACAGAAGATAACAAGAAGAACAATTATCCTATATTTCATAATGAGCCTTGTTGGGTGTTCAGCAAATCAATAAAAAAAACTTCAAGTTCAGAAGAAAATACTGGTATGACTGGAAAGTGTTTCTCTTCCACTAATCATAATCTCCCAGAACCTGAGAGTCCTGATATTCCTCCACCCTTGCCTAAACGATCCCTTTCATTACTAAAAGACAACTGTTTTGGTGATGGCTCCTCTAGTTCCCCAAAGGGAATTTTGAGGAAGTCACCATCAAGTGATTACTGTCTAGAACAGAACCACCAGCAGTTTATTTCAAAATGCAGGAATGCTTCTTGTATGTCTTCTAAAAAAGAGGATCTAAAAAACAAAAGAAGATCACTGCATGAACCTTGCCAACAACTATTGGAGAACATTCCAGAAAGTTCTAATGTGAAAAGATATTGTTGCTTTGCTCCATCCACTTGCCATGTTGTAGATCAGGCCTTAACTAATGTTGTATGCAATTCTAAAGAAATACCAGATACAAAATCTAGTATTAGAAACCCTTTGCAGAAAAATTTGTCAGAAGGTTGCTGTACAGGATGTCCAAATCATGGTTGTCAGAACTGTATGCCATCAAAACAGTCAGTTTGTTTATGTTGTCATGCAGATTCTTCCAACCAGTTAGAAGGTTTTCAGCATAACAGATTTTCTTTTCCAAGATTTGCTACATTTGAAGGGAAGCAACCACTGCAGCAACTATGTGGTCAACTTCAACAGCTTCTTAATTCTAGTACCAGTCTCAATTTAATGGCTGCAGCTTTGTTGGCAGCACAAGGGAGCCCAGAAGGAAGCAATGCTAGTAGCACCTCTTCAAACTGCAATTGTGCTCGTTCAAAGAAAGCAGTAAGCTTCTGTGAAAAGGTCGCTGTGCAGTCGAGAGAGATGGGAACCACAGCCGGGGAAAGACCATGCCAACAGAATAACAAGATCGCTACTGTCCAACCATGTGGACACAAGTCAGGTAATTTGTATTCTGCATATAAACACCTATGAAGTATTTCAGATGTACAAAAATCATTCAAAAAGTATTTTGCTGTAGATGTATATAAATTTTTATAAAAAATTCTTAAAACTTTAAAAACAGCAAGTTAAACATAGCTAACAGAATTTCTTTTTTTATTTAAAGTGAGATAGGATAAAAAGATAAAAGATGTTATGTTTTGGCATGATCTGGTACAACAGAAATGACTTAAATAGATATTTTAAAACATTTTCTCCTTGACAATATGGAACAAGATGGACAGATACCAAAACTTAACCAATTTTGAAAAGAGGAAATGGATATTGATATTTTTTATTATTATTAAAAAGGTTTCTTTACTTTTTTTTTTTAACAGGTTATATTTTTTTTATTGAATACTTTGGATAAATGAGTTGAGATTTGATCAGTATTTTGTTTGTTTTTAAAAATTGAGAGGTGTAGTTGCTAGGCTTGAACTTGATAGTTGGGAGCGATAATTAAAACGTAATCAAGGAAGAAGTAAGGAATGACATTTATCTACTTACTTTCTATCTGCTGTTCATGGTAAGTTTTAACATTATTATTAAAGTTCACTGGTATTTACATTTACCTTAAAATGCAAAAAAATCTAAATGTATGTAGTTAACAACAAAAAGAAGGGCACCTACAAGCTGTAGAGCTGGTTGATTAGTAGAATTTGTTAATGGATTAATTATATGACTCATGAACCCTATATGCGTGGGTGGGGGACAAAGTATGCATGTCAGCAACTTTTTACAGAGAACTATTCAACAAATTTATGTATTATCACTGATAATGGTAATAATATTATTATTATTTAAAACATCACAATTGAAATTAGAAATCACTAAGTATCCACTTAGCCAGTTTATTTATGTATATTGTTTGAATACTAAAAACATGCAAATAATGTTCAATAAATAAGGATTTGAGTCATTGCAACATTTTACCATCACTTACGATACTTACTAAATGTAACTTAAGCTTGTCCGATGTCTTCTACTTTTAGAAAAGCTAACACTCACGTTATTTGTACTAGAAACTTTCCAAAGAACTTTCCAGAAACTGCTACTCAAACAACCACATTTACTCTTCTATTTGTTTTGAAAACCAAGAAATTCATAATATTCTCTCAAGGGGTGATAGGTTTTCAGCAAGAATAAAGTTATTCTTTGGGATGGGCAGAAAAATTATAAAACAATTGACAAGTGTCTTGTTTACAGGCAAAACTTTTTGGGAATGTGAACAAATACAAATCTGAACATTTTTCTTCATAAATTACATCAAATAAATGTTAAAAAATTATAAAATATCAATTCTAAAATATTTTTGAGTAAGAATTGCTGAAATGGAGTTAGAATTAACATATAAAATGGACTTATAAATTTGTGGTGAAAAAGTCATTTTGAAAAAATATAAAAACCCACAGGATACCTTTTCAACAGTAATATGCTAAAAGTAAGTTACATTATTAATTCTAAGCTGTTGTATGTGTTAAATGCATCATTCATCCAAAGTTGTTTGAAACCTGTTATGAAATGAAGATAGGATCAATAGCATTTCATGGGTTTCTTCCTATAAAGTTCTACAAGACTACTGAATATTTGTTGATGATGATAAGCATTACTTCATGACATTTTTAAAACAAATTTTTATATAATGTAACTAAATTTTATTACCCTAAAAAACCTTGCAAATATAAGATCTAAGAAAACATGACTAGTTTCGACTATAGGCCCATATTAGGTACCAGTTAGTAGAAAGTTACTTTCAGTTTTTTAAAATCTATTTCATTTAGCAAACATGCTTTGTTTTTTACTTTTGTTTCAGCATATTTACTCTCCACACACATTATGCGGTATTGGCTGAAGTCCTTTTTTCTAATGCACAGTTGACGAAATAGACTTTCAATTAAAATACATTAGAGAAGTAGTAGTCGTAGTTGACTTGTATGCATTGTGGCAAATTGTATTCTTAATAGTGTTTTATAGTTCTTTATAGAACTGTCATTTCTTAATGGTGTTTTATATTTCTTTATAGAACTATCATTTCTTAATGGTGTTTTATAGTTCTTTATAGAACTATCATTTCTTAATGGTGTTTTATAGTTCTTTATAGAACTATCATTTCTTAATGGTGTTTTATAGTTCTTTATAGAACTATCATTTCTTAATGGTGTTTTATAGTTCTTTATAGAACTGTCATTTCTTAATGGTGTTTTATAGTTCTTTATAGAACTATCATTTCTTAATGGTGTTTTATAGTTCTTTATAGAACTATCATTTCTTAATGGTGTTTTATAGTTCTTTATAGAACTATCATTTCTTAATGGTGTTTTATAGTTCTTTATAGAAC